TGTGCTGAACCCGTTGGGAGTCCATCTGAATATAACTATATATAACATTGTAATATGTATACATTGTTATAAACCTCGAATAGACCGTGTTGATTTACTATTTTATCGTTCAATTCAAAGTACTCAGTATGAAAGCGACGGATATTGAAACGTGATTGCTTGCAGAGCAAAATAACTAGATTGGAGGTTGAATGATGTGTTCAGAGCCAACCAGCGTTGCAATAATAACGCGAACTTCGTTCCTCATCAAAGAGCCACAATTAGTAATAATATGGATCATAATCTTTAAAAGTATAAAACTATATAAATAAAACACTTTAACGGTTTAAAACGCGACACATATTAGTTCAAGCTGTTTGAAAATTATTTTAACTACGGCTCGGGTTCCGTATCACCACGGCTGCTGCAAGGCGTCCGAAACGTCGGACCGTAGTTATAGTAATTTTTAATTGAGTTTCACTAATATATATCGCGTTTTAAACCGTTAGTTTTTTATTTAAATGTGTACTACTCGCGTAAACTACAGACTGAATTAAATTACGTTGACATGTTTTTTATACAAAAAACATAATTATGAACATAACGGAAGTGTTTTAAACACTAAATATTAATATAACTTTGTACACATAAATTTTTTATGCTCAAATTCAAATTCACGACCATCCCCATATCTCATATTTCAATATCAAAGGTACCCCGGGTTCACCCGGTAAGTAAATTATTAAGGGCAAATTGTCTATTATATTTGGGACACCCTTGTCCCAAACGGTTTTCATAGAATGTTCCACTTAACTGACGCATTGTCGAATTATGTATTCAGAATCTATTTATGGGTATAACTACCCTCGCCAAAACATAATACCTATTCACCCATTTTGTATCTTATATGTGACTATTAACTAAATAGATAGTATTCAATATATTGAATACAGACAAGTTTCTCACGTATAAGATATATTATCATAGCTAGTACAGTTGATGCATATAATTTAATAATAATATTTTAGTCTAGTGTTTTGTGAACCTTAATCGGAGTCTGACTTTGATTCCCGCGTGTGCACCAATATATTTGTATAGCAGTGATCCCTCTGTTGATAGTAGATATTGAGAACTGGTTGACGATCCACAACACTGGTCTTAGAAAACTAGGTCTATAGACTTTATTTCTCATAAAGCAATAATGAGATTTATGCTTTTTTTTTTTTTTAAAAACCCATAGTTGTAAAAGAAAACGGTAAAGATATCGTAGGTGCGTAAAACAGTTAACGTAGTAGTATACAAAATAAAATACAAACTTCCAACTCTTTCTGCAAGTAAATAGAAGACTAAATTTAAATTAAATGACGCTGTTTAAATGAATGATAGCAATTTAGAATTTCAGTGTCCTAAATCAACAAAGAAGTTAGAAATCACACAACGTGTGTTGACTTGAAAACTTGGATCAATTTAACTCGAGTAAAATTTCCGAGTAAAGCAAGTGATGTAGAGTATTAACAGGAATCGTATAATGTTGCTATAGTTTCAGATGATAGTTGCTTTTAGAAATATGGCGAGGAGGAAATGCTAGAAGAAATAGTAAACGTACCTATTGCAGAATCTGTATGCTGGACATAGGATATACAAGGTCTCTCTGTCAACCTATTTTAGTCTATTACACTCAAAACATACGATACTACGCTTTAAGGTCAGCTTCTAGACAGACTTAAACATATTTAAGAAAACATATGACACGATTTTAGAATATATTGGACTGTATCTAACTCCGATCAATGATATACGCCATGCTTTGCTGCCATTGGGACCAACCAAACATTCAAAGTAAAGTCATTCACATTGTAAAATATTACTGTTTGTAATATTATACATATTGTTAAATTTCGTTAATATACCAATTACGGATACCAATATATATATAAATACGTCGAAGTAATAATATTAAACATTTAAATGAAGAATACTCAGCTCAAATATTTCCATTATAAACCACTTACAACCGTATACTTGAGCTTCTAAAACTTAATATTACAAGAATGTCAGGTATTCTCGTAATTACAACATCGTTGACAAGATTTTAATTAAAAAGAGTGAAGCTCAGGTATTTGGAATTTTCGTACTTGAAGTTCATTACATTTACTTGAAACGAAAATTAGATGATAATGACTAGAGATGGGCTGATGTTGCTTTTAACCGAAACCGAAGTTCGGTTAGTATTTCATGTGCGTTTAATAAAGTACGAATTTTAATAAATTATCTCGTTAAAACGAAACTTTAAAAGTCCTCTAATCAAATCTAACATTCCATTACTCAAGTTTTCAGGGGCCGAAGGCAATAAATTCTTATCATTAGAATATCTAATTGTATAATACTAGCTGTGTCCGCGTGCTTTGAAACCTCCAAAGCAAGCAAGCAAGCTTAAATTTATGAAGAATCTTTATAAATTTAAGCTGTTACACACGACGTCGCTCGCGTCCCGTCTATCATTCAAGGTAATCTTAAAAGATAGACATAATATAGTTGCGGTTTTTTCTAGATGATTAAAAGAGGAATCGTTGTTTCATACATATTTTTGATCTTGATCCATTTTCGCATCAAAAACCCAAAAAGTTGAATAATTTTCCCAGTTTTTTTCTTATTTCCCGCTTTTTCTTCGCTTCTATTATTTATCACATTTTCTTCAAAAATGCTCTAACCAACACAAAAAGATTTAATTCGAACTAGTATTTCTTGTGAATAGCGAGTACAAAAAAAAACAAACGAACTCTTTAGCTTATATTAATATATAAGCATAAACCTATGTTTTTTATTCAATTTTTTTTTTAGATTTACTGAAGTTATAATATATCTAAATACAGAAACAACGTAAATATCTCTATTACTATCCAATCACCATCCGATTCAAACCGAATGTTAACCGGCTTTCGGCGCATCTATAATTATGTCGTCGCTCGTGTAGCAGATTAATTTTGCATTTATGGGGGAAATAATAATCTTCTTAGACCATTGTAGACATTTGTTCTCTTTCCAGTGTTGAAAAGCTTTGGAGGGTTCAAGATTTCAACCTTAATAATTTGATGTAGATTTATCTAGATAACGATGGGGAGGTATATAATGTTTTGCTTATCGGTTTAAGAAGCTATGTACAAATTCTTTAATAAATGGTATATCTGTGTAAAACATGAGAGCATATACTTAAAATAGGCAAAAATATATACATTATTACTAGGACTTTTGTAACTATTAAATAAAACACTTTTACGGTTAAAAAATATATTAACTTATTTACAGTTCATTTTAACTACAGAATGACGGTTTGGATGATTTGCAGTAACCGTAGTCACGGGGGGGAATATTCCTCGTGTTTATTAAAACAAATAGTAAATAAGTTATCTAAAATTTCTCGAATTTTAAATCGTCAAAGTGTTTTAATTTAATGTGTACTACTTCTGTAAACTACAAACAATACTCTTGTAACTTATGTTGTATTAAGACACGTAATAGCTCTAATTGGGCACAAAAGATTCACAGCGATCATTGAAACGAACACAAATGTTTCCGTATGGGACAAATATGGGATTTCCCACACCCTTGCTGGCTTTATATGATATCCGCTAGACTTCAGCTTAAAGCACTCCATAAACATAAGGATGACAAACGTGGCAACGTCTCACAAAATGACCAGTATTTTTTCACAAAGTAGAACAATGTGTCTTTGTCTAATGTTCAAGTATTATGTTCTTGTATTCGTATTTAAGTTGAAAGCCCTGTGTAAACCTTGGTTAGTGGTTTAACTTTTATTAAGTTTGAATTACTAACTTGGCGTAACTTATATGTTTTTTACCTTATTATTGCGTTTTGGATGCCTTGCAGCCGCCGTGGTTACGGGGAGAATAAAGATGGAGGATGTCTTTGAAGTAAGTAAAAATTGGTAAGCTAGCGCCATCTGTTCCGTCGAAGTTGGTATTTGGCGAAACGTCGGGCCGAAGTTAAACATAATTTTAACTATTATATCGCGTTTTAAACCGTTAAAGTGTTTTATTTAAAAGCTTTCATGTTGTTAGTTTCCTAGACTTTTTTTTATTAAATCTACGTGGCTTTATGAAACGTTTTATAAAATCCATAAATGCCTTCGCCGTTCGTTCAGAATATTCCGACCCGCCTCGCCGCAGACGGGAATTAATTTGGATCAAAACTTATTTAACATACAAATACACGTTTCAATAAATCCGATGAATATAAACTTATATTCAACGGGATCTATTGAAATTTGTGGTGGTGTGTTGGGGGGGGGGGTAAACTACGCTTAATATTAGTCCTACTAGTGGGTGAGGTACATTAGATAAATTTGCACTAAGCTTTTCAATATATTCGGAATGTATGTATATATAATATAATATTTTGTGACTCTTTTCTAAACACGCTGCTTTGTTTTTCGTTCACTGCGAAGCTTTGAGTTTGACTCGCGTAACGTCATGTTATGTCTCACACATCGGTTGTCGGAAAGAAACTAGAAGAATTAGAATCTACTTGTCCTTTACTGAATACAATTAATAAGTCAAACAGGCAGAAAAGTAAAATGTTTTGTACGCGTGTATTACTATTTTAAACGAGTTTACACCTAAATTGTATTTACCTACTAAAATATTATCTCTCCTTTGCGTTAACATGTGAGAAATATTAATGTAAACAATTGAACCGTACAATTATGTTGCTATTTTCTAGCTAGAATATTACGCATATGCATTTCGGCAGCAATATCTATACTGTTAGCTCGGAAAAACGATGTTAAACTCTTAAATATTAATTTATTATCCAAAATTAGGCTTAACCGACAGAATGCGCGCCAACGTTCGTATTTTACCGTTCCTGAGCTAGTGTCGGGACGCGCGCGGTAATCGCGTCGCACTAGTGTTGTGTCGTCCCCGCTAAATCGGAGGATTATTCATATCAGTTCGGCCATCCTGTGTAGTCCTTCGCCCTCGAAGGATGAAGTAGCGCTCCCGCTAAACCGCCGCTGCAAGTGCAGCCACGGAGACTCGGCTCAGCCACCATCTGGAAATAGCCCCGTAGGCAGTAAATAGCCCCTTAGGCATTAATAGCCCCTTAGGCAGATAAGAGCCCCGTGGCAGGTAATAGCCCCGTAGGCAGATAATAGCCCCGTAGGCAGGTAATAGCCCCGTAGGCAGTAATAGCCCCGTAGACTGTAATAGCCCCGTAGGCAGTAATACCCCACCGCAGTAATAGCCCCGTAGGCAGATAATAGCCCCGTAGGCAGTAATAGCCCCGTAGGCAGTAATAGCCCCGTAGGCAGTAATAGCCCCGTAGGCAGATAATAGCCCCGTAGGCAGTAGTAGCCCCGTAGGCAGTAATAGCCCCGTAGACAGGTAATAGCCCCGTAGGCAGTAATAGCCCCGTAGGCAGATAATAGCCCCGTAGGCAGTAATAGCCCCGTAGGCAGATAATAGCCCCGTAGGCAGTAATAGCCCCGTAGGCAGATAATAGCCCCGTAGGCAGTAATAGCCCCGTAGGCAGTAAATAGGCCAGTAGGCACTATGCCAGAGGGGTGACAGCATCTTGCTTTAATTCGTCCTCTGATGAACAACTGTCTTGCGTAGCTTTCAAAACCTTCATTTAGTCACCTTATGACCAACCTTGTCACAATTGTTACACTTGACCACCTTGTTTAAGTTATTATTTTAAGCATTAAATGAACCCGAGGATTTCACTTCAACGCAGTCCGATGATGTTTTCATACAGGCCAGGTACTTTAACAAAGAATTAGTATCATGACAACCAGCCGACAACGCTCCAACTTCTAACAATTTGTCTCCAAGTGTACCCACAATTGCTTGAGCTATCACATCATCACTCATATTACATGACATGCCAATACCCAGCTTATCATAGTAAAATTTTATTGGGTCTTCATCTTTTGTCTTGATACGGTTAACAAGTTCCCTAATCTGTGACAACTTATTCTTGGTGAATGGAAATGCTGTAATTAATTTTATTTTCCACTCATCCCAGCTAATGTCATAGCAAGTTTGGCGTTCATACCAGCTTTTAGCATAGCCACCCAACTTAGAAGTGCAGTTGCAAATCAAAGTGCGTTCATCCCAGCCATGCATATTAGCAACACCTTCTAAGTTACGGAGCCAATGTTCTACTGAGACAGATGATTTTTGAGGATTAAACTCAGGTATAAAATCATTCCATCCCACATAACGAACCACTGACTCTACTCTTGGTGTGGTGTCACCATTATTATAATTTTTCTGTTGTAATTCTTTAATCAACCCTTCTAATGCTTTGATTCTCTTATTCTTCCTTTTAAGTTCTTTTTTTTGTCGTTTACTTTTAGATTGTCTATCAGAATTACTTGACCCTGACGAAGAAGCACTAGTAGACCTATTTCTCTTCTGGTGCCGACCCATGTTAACAATTAAAATAAAGGCACACACAATAAACTTATACTGCTGTCTCTAACACTAATAATTCTCTTTGAATAAAGTAAACTTCTTTAACAGAAGTAATTAAATTCAGTAAAAGTTCAATTATCCAAATAGTCCTTAAATTTAGTTTAAAATTAGCACTTTAACAACTTAGAATAGTTTTTTTTATTTCATTTTGTTTATTTATGGGTTGCTGAGCATTTTAACAGATATTAAAGTATGCTCAAATTATCAGTCTACTTAAGTAAATACAAAAAATCATGGAACAATCTCACCAAATAACCAGGAACATTTCAACACGCAAATGATGCATCTTCAAGCACCTTGTTGTGCAATCGTCACCGTACCAGGATAATTCACACAAATAAACCAGTTTCTCAACCAGAAAATGTTCACCCAAAACTTCTACAAACTTGTTGTACTGGAGGTCAGTGACCCTTAACGGATTGACAAAATTTGTGCAAAAATCAAGTATTAAGTACCGATCTGCATTAAACTTAGTTACTATAAGCGCTCTTATCACTATTTATGTGAGTCATCACAAAATTATACCATAAAAGCGTCTTTTCGCACCCTAAACCGGCAGTTTTATTTTTTCACCAAACTTTGCACTTTAAAAGTGAAATTATTGTCCATTTCATCAAAGTTCACTCGTGGGCAAGATCACTTATCGCACTTCTGATATTGTTAGGTTGGGAAAACAATGTTAAACTCTTAAATATTAATTTATTATCCAAAATTAGGCTTAACCGACAGAATGCGCGCCAACGTTCGTATTTTGACAGTCCCTGAGCTAGTGTCGGGACGCGCGCGGTAATCGCGTCGCACTAGTGTTGTGTCGTCCCCGCTAAATCGGAGGATTATTCATATCAATACTAATATATAAAGCTGAAGAGTTTGTTTGTTTGTATGGTTGGTTGGACGCGCTAATCTCAGGACCACTGGCTCGAATTAAAAAAACTTGTGGGGTAAAGCATCTATTTATTTAAGGAAACAGAAACAGAAATATCACAGAATCATATTATAAGGAATTAAAATATATATATATATATATATATATATAGTACAGATATTCCCTTAAATAGTTTCACAGATATATATTTAAAATCGAGGTTTAACAATAACTTATACAACTAGACCATGAAAAACAATAAAATGAATATTAACTTGAAGAATGTAGATTATAATCATTAAGTAGATCATTGTAGTGGGTTTTGGCGCCCTTCATACGATTATTAAGAATTCGCAATTTCTTTTGGACTGCTTCAACTTGAGCTACGTATACTTTATAAAAAGGATTCCAAATAGGACTGACATACTCTAATTGTGACTGTACAAGCATTTTATAGAGATAAAGTCGCTTTATTTTTAAATGATCTGGTGACGCGTGTTATGAAACCCAGCATACGTAAGCTTTATTTACTATTTGATCTACGTGCTTATCAAGGATAAGTTTTTAAGTCAAGAAGAATGCCAAGGTCTCTAAAAGGCTAACGGATTGAAGAGTACGGTTACCGAGAGTGAATTTAGAGGTTATTATGTTTTTGTTTGTAGTAAATACGACGAATATCGTTGATGGAGATATGTGCGTCACTGGAAAGGCTTTCATCAATGTTGTAGGAATTCTCTTGGCCTGATTCAGATCTAGGTACAATGACAGACTGAAAATAATTAGAGAACATCTCAACTATCTTTTTAGGATTATCGGACGAATTGTTACCACATTTCATTATTTGGGGATATCCAGAATTACTGAACTTAAAATTTGATGTATATTTCGAGAAGTATTTAATATTTGTGTGTAAAGTACTTTTCAATCCTATCCATATAACGACTGTTGCAAAGTTTTATCAGCCTTTTGACGCGAGTTCTGAGTAGAAAAAAATCCTGGTAGTCATGTAAATTGCTGTATATCTTCCAACGATTCCAAGGTTTAAATGATACCTAGGTGATCTAGCACTATACGTCCCAGATAATTACGTCTGGAAGCGCCATCAGCCTCCGCTACTTCGCGCCCCAGCCGCAAGGACTAACTTACTTGCCGAGGCACCGCTAACTCGTGCAATGCTTGCAGTTCGTCGCCTGCATCGAGTCCACGATGTTATGCACAGTCCGTTGAGTGAGTTGGCAAGACACGTAGCTAACTTTATTAGCACATACGTGTTGAAGCTGCATTGGGGGCGTCCCTGTCAGGACTTCATATATTTTTGTTCAATACATAAATTTATTGAGGAAGGCTATTGCCTATAAAATCACATCACGCTGTGATTAATAGAAGCGAAGAAACAACCCAAAACGGTAAAAAATTATTCATCTTTGACGGCTTTCGTTGCATTCTCTACGTAAACGATTCAAGATATTAAAAAAATTTGCACGAATGAATGAAAAAATTATCTTAAAAATATAAGTTAATCCATAAAGTTAATCTTTTATATATCTTTTAAGATGATATATATAAATATATATATAGATTTATACATATCTTTAAGATTAACTCACATAAACGACAGGAACTCGGACTACGTGGTAGGTAAGAGGTAAACAAATTTTAATGTCCAAAATAACTATTCTACGTGAACGAAGTCGCGGCCTCAGCTAGTATACTGTATAGGGAGTACTGTCAACATAGGGATAATAAACGTAACATGAAATTAAGTGGCGGGTTATGAGCCTCTCACATGTCGCCGGCCATTATCGATGTTATTACTACAGTACTATTATGACGTCCTAACTGGATATCAAGAAAATATATTTCAGGACTACGGAATATTTTTCAGCTATTTACCTATGGCTCTATGTGTGAGTGAAGGTCGACTTTTGCCAAGGCCGAGGTAAGAACAGGGGATACACTCGCTCTTGAAAATTAGTTTTAAAAGTATATTACTATCTTCTAGTATCCTTCGGCCAAAATTTGTATTCGGTCTGACGTCAGACGTCAGACCGAATCCACAGAAATTGTTTAAAAGAAATAATACCTACCTTAAGTAGTGATTGACTTAAGCTGAAACAGAATTTATTTCAAGCGTTTACATTACCTACTTTTCGTAATCTCATTATTAATATTAGCATTAAATGGTTTTGATCGAGTGAATTTAAGGTAGTTCTTTAGTTTCATATATAAAAGTGTCTCAAAGTGTTTCAGTGTAAATCAATGCGAAAATCATGATATTATGTAAATTGTATTTGTTTACCAAAAATGCCAACTAAAAAAAATATACTTCAATATCACTCGTCTAAAACATCCCTCAGCGATATACATAAGTTAAACATCGTTTTTCTCATTGAAGGTATGGTGTAGACATATTTCTGTATCTGTTCTACTAATAGACTTAATTATAGTGAACAAATGGTTATTATTATATTTACTATCGAAATCCAGGATCACTTCCATTTCACTCTAACCGTAATAAATCATTTTCTCTAATTTACAATGTCATTCATCCTAAAATCGCTTCCTATTCTAACAACAGTAGTTCTGAGAGACATACTATGAATCCCCCCTTAGACATGTCATTAGTGACTGCCGGAGGGAAATACGTTGTTTGTTGAAATGTAACAAGGCGTTCCACCGAAAATTCTTTGTTGTTTCCCCTAAAATATAAGTTAGTGTTTCTCATTTAGGTAACGATCTCTAATTCACATAATTTCGAATAAGTACGCCTGTTATCGTTAACATTCAGATGGGTAACGTGTTTTGGAGATATAATTCTTATTAAACAAAAACGACGTTACGTAACGAGTTAGGCATCTGACTTATATGAAATAGTTTAACTCTGCTTCGATTAAAACTATTGGGCGTTTCGAGAAATACAGTATATAATAATTTTTCAGTATATAAAAGAGTTACAAGAAACAATATTATCATAGTTTTGTACCTAGAATAAAAGAGTGACTTAAAAACAAAAATCTAATTACCTTCTTTACCCTCTAATTAAAAAACATAGATAAAAAAGATAATTCCTTTCAATATAATGTAAAAGTATGTACCTATGGGTGGAAATTGGATATTGATCTAGAATTAATCCTGAACTTGAAGCAACATATATATTGTGGTAATTGGTAATTAAAAATGTTAAATAGTATTTTAAATTAAATTGATAATTACCACGAAAATATATTAT